AATTATAGTACGGAACTGAACGGAATCGAACCGAACCGAACCCGAACGGTTCCAAAATTATATTTGGAACCGACGGTTCCATTTACTAAATACCCGAAAAACATAAATATGTGTATTACCAGCATATTATCTATGTAGACCTTCATAATTTTGCTAATGAAGTCTGCAAGCATCCTTTGACTAGCTTTTGATAGGTGGTCCTAGCATTTTTCAATCCAAACGACATCACCTTATAGTAGTACAAGTCTCTATCTATAATGAATAGGGTGTTCTCCTCATCTGCGAGGTACACTAGAATTTGATTGTAGCCGCATCCATGAAGCTTAGTAGTTCATGCCTACATTGAATCCACAAGTTTTTCTATTCTTGGGAGTAGAAAGCTATCCTTTGGGCAAGCTTGATTAAGGTTAGAGAAGTTACCATTATGCTTCTTTACTAGAATAGGATCAGATATCCACTTCAAATATGTGGCATCTTTATTGAAGCCATTATTGATCAATTTCTCTACTTCCTCCTTTAGGACCTCGTACTTTTCAGGGTTAGGGGCTATCCTCTTTTGTCTATGTAGGGCATACTTAGGATCAATCTTCAAGTGATGGCAACTTACCTTTAAGTCGATGAACACCATGTTCTCTTGCTTCCATACAAGACATCCAAGTTACTTTGTAAGAAGGTTTTGAGCTCTTCTTGGGCTTCGTTTGATAGATCTTTCCCCACTTTTAATACTCTGGTAGGGTCTTAAGGGATTACAGGGAAACTTTTTAGTTCTTCCATTGGTGTTATTTGTGATTCGGATTCAATTATACGTGGGTCCAGTTCGTTATTAACAATTCCTTCCAGGGACTTCTCTTTTTAAGAGACTTCTTCCATTTCGACGTCTTTCCCTTGTTCGAGGGTGTTTTCTTCTTTAGGGGCGTTGAATATAATAGTGTCCAATAACACCACATTAACACTACGGGGTTCGGACTTCCTTAAAAAGTTGAGGTAGCACTCCCTCGGCCCCATTTGGGCACTTCTAATCGTAGCAATACCGTGTTCAGCAGGAAACTTCATACATAGATGATGAATGGAGATAACTGTCTATAAATACTATTTCTAGTGAATCATACAAAGGAGAAGTCATCGATGTCAATTCATGATC